TATATAATTTTTTCCAACTCATTTGAGAGTAAATTGGAGACATCATACCACTTTGCCTCTAAATAATTCATTTATAATTCTCTTTATAACAACAGAGATGTCATCTTAAATAGCCACAGTGCACTGGTCAAAAATCAGAAGAGTTACCATTGATACAGTACCATTATGGAATCCAGAGTCCATACTCAAATTTGTCAGTTGACCTCCAAGTTTCCTTCACAGCTATTTTCTACCACAGTCTAGGATTCAAGCAAGAATTACCTTTACCTATTTTATTCCCAGTAGTTAATTAACTGTTCAAAAAATAGTTCTGCCCTCTATCTGCTGTGTATTGGTGTTAGTAACGTGGTAACAGAGGCCAGGGTCCCCCTCAGAGGAGATGGAGGGGAGGCTGGGGCTGGTAGAAATGGAGCAGGTCTGGGGCAGCGCCTGTATCTGCCACAGTATGGCCGGAGTTCATCTCACGAAGCATTTAGGGGAGATTAACGTCAGTAATCTACAGATGAAGAAAGAGAGCTAGAATATAAAGTGGCAGAATAAAGATTAAAACCTGTGTCTCTAGAATCTCAATCTTGTTATTTATAGATTCCTTTTCAACCTATCTATTCTCTTCCTGAAATCATCTTCAACATTTTTCAGCACATTAACATTCTTTGACATTGTCATGCTTATTCATGTCTTGTGCTTTTGCCCATAAAATTACCTTTTTCTCAAAATGCGTTTTTCAGCTCTTTTGTATCTCAAGATTTTACCTCCAGTTGGCATGGGTTTATGAATTGAAGAAGGTATAATCTAAGCAAGCTCTCAGAAGCTAATTCTTATAGGCAGCTGATATCTGAAGGATTCATAAACTCAAATAAGTGCCTTAAATCACAAAGTCGGATCCAAAAAAACAAACAAACTGGTTTTTGGAGTCCAACAGACTAAGCTTTAATCAGATCACATCAATTCATCATCAATGGATTTTAGCTTAAACAAAATCAGTTATTCAATTTCTACAGAGCACAGCTTAGATTTGAATATATGCAGGCTATTTGATCATTCTGGTTTAGTTCTATTTTTAATGCAAGAGAATGCTAGGGGTACCAGATGGAAACCCAGGCTGAGTACCCACAGGGGGTTCAGGTTCAAGCATATCCAGCTGTGTCTGGATGGCTGACAGGGTGAAGTCACCAGCAATCGATTTCCTGGAGGTGATCAAAAAGCCTCATTGTAAGCAGCTCATCCCCAGTGAAGGAAGAGTTAAGGAATGAAATCTTGTGTGAATACAATGGGGCATTTTGAATTTAGCAAGAGTATGACTTCTAACACAACACTGCTGGCATCAATGAAGGAAAATGACCATAACCATTTTTCGTTTTCACACTACTCGCCAACTGATGACAGAAATACTTTTAGAAAATTGCTCTCTCAAGTTGCTCAAAATATAGAGGTGTGCCTGCAATTTTCTGCATAAGCTATTCCCAGAAGATTTTTGGTCATAGCTCCTCTTTTTCCTATACCCATTTCCTCAGAAAAATAATCATCCCCCACAGCTACTAAGCCAGGGACTGCTAGCTAGCTATCCGACATCCATCGCCCTTTCCTCTTTCCTACCGAGATCCTGATTCCTGCCCCTCGCAGCTGATTAAGAGGAAACTGACACAACCCCCTGAGCCAAGGTGGGTAATTAACCTAACGCAACCAGCACGTGGCATTCCCTCCACAACTGTTTCTGATGCAGAAGTGGGCTTCTGACATTTTTGGCTCAGACTACAGTGAAAGACATATTCCATCCTTGGGCAGGGATTCCTCTCTCTCTCACTCGCTCTTTCTAGATGTCAACAAGAAACCATGTTGCTATAGTTGCTGCTGACAAGCATCTGATGACAAAACAAGAAGGACCGGTAGGATAGAGCAAACAGTCTAGACAGCAGAGCAGAAAGTTAGAAAAATCTGGGTGCCTGACGTGATAGCTTCAGCCACTGAATCAAATCACTCTGCAGTTGACTACTGTACTTCCTGTTAGTTGAATAAATTTCCTTATTGTTTAAGCCTAGATGAGTCATGGCTTCTGTTACTGCAGTTGAAACCATACCAAACAATGTATTATAGAAACATTTAATTATGAAGACTGAGAACCCCAAATTTTGTGTTAGGCCCAAACAAAACTTAAAGTTCGCCTGACTCATTTAGTGATTTGCATAATTGTTATCATACCACATAACAAATAGATATAAATTATAAGTAATGCACACGAAGGACTGATTTTCCAGGGAAGGTGCCATGGAGCAATAAAAAGCATATCTTATTCAGAATTGTGGGTAGAAATCTTATACTCTGCTTATTTCTAAGAAAAGGAGCTGCTCATAAATTTGTGATCAGCTCCCAACTGGAAAGGGCCTGCTGTTTATCGAGTACTTACCAGAAGCCGGGCACTGTCCTGGGTGCTTTTTACACAGTTGGATTCAAGCAGGCGTGAAGAGCAGTGGATATGGAGTCCCGTAGACGTCGTTCCATGGGCACGTGTGCCCGAGCGGGCCAGCTTCTGCTTCATCCACATTCCATGTTTGGATTCCCAAGGTGACTGTTCTCTTAGCAAAGCCATTGTTTCCCAGGGCCCAACTACTATGCTCCAAGCGCCTGGCTCCAGAAGAATGTCCAGCATCAGCCATGTGAAGTATCCGAATCAGCTCTGCCACACAAACTGTTAAGCTCCGGTGTTAAGACTCAGCCAAAAGTCTAGATAGCGACTCTTTTCATTCAGGTTAATTTATTTCAGGTGCCCCCTTGCTAGTTCTTGCCAATGAAACCTGGTCAGCACAATCCCAGAAAGCTCCATCAGGCCTCCCTGAGTTCTTGTCTCAGGGTGGGGAGTGCTGGGGCTGTGACCCGTTGTCTCCCAGAAGCCCTCTGGATTCCTAGGTAACTCTTCTGAGATCATGACCTGATCCAGCTACACGGATCTGAGAGTGCTCACTTTCTTATACTAGGAAAAAAAAACCCAAAAAACAAAAATAAGGGGGCTGTCCAAGTAATTCTTCCTTGGGTAAAGGATTTTAAACACTTACATAAAAATAACATAGTCAAATTATAAACATAAATAAGCATGGAAAATCAGATTACACAAATGCTGTATCTTTTTAATGGTCCCATGAAATTCCATCTATAAGAATACCATAATTTACTTAGTCTTCTAATGTTGTTTTTAGATTGTTTCTAATTTTTCTCTATTATAAATATTTCTTTGCAATGAACAACAGATGCATGAGTTTAAATGCTCCTGTAACATTTTTAAAAAGTAGGCTCCATGTCCAGCACGATGTAGAGGCTCAGACTCATGGGGCTCAAACTCATGACCCTGAAATCAAGACCAAGAGCTGAGATCAAGAGTCAGAACCCGAACTGGGTGAGCCACCCAGGTGTCCCATTTCTGTAATATTTTAAAAAGCCTTTTCAAACTGAAAGACTGAACTCAAGGAAATCCAAGGTCATTGTAAAATGAATCTGGGGACTGCTTTAGAATATGTCGCTAAGTCTACTAGAGAGACTGCTCTAGAACGACGTAACTGTTCCTTTTCAGTGCAAACACTATGCAAGCAATGGGCCCTATTTCCTCGTTCTTGACTGTTCTTTGCCCCTGTCATGTTGGACTCCATTTGTCCCCCAGATCTACCTCCTCAGTCTTCAGTGTCACCTCATTGCTTTCCTCAAGGTGACCCTTTTGATGCAAATGAACAAATCTTTTAAATCTCTAAAAGAAAGAAAGAGAATTTTCTTTGAGCCCAAGTGAGGGCAGCTGCCCAAGGAACCCAATCTTCACAAACAGACTACTATGGAGAATGAACAGTTTTTACAGTTATAGACTTTTTTACTTCTTGTAAAAGCTCAAAAGATTATAGAATAACATATAGGCAGGAGTCACCAGTTTTAACATCAAGGAATGCAGGTAGGAGGAATTTTGATGGACAAGCTGGTTTTCCTTGAGGCTACTCACTCATACAGCAGGTGTAGATTGCATGTTGGTGGGCCATAAATGAGGCTTTGGGTTTAAACAAAGTTTATGTACAGTCATGCTGACTTTGAAATCAACCTAAAATGGCTTCCCTTACATATCAAGCCTTTAGAGAGTTTTTCTCCCATTACCCTTGACCAAGGCCTCGCTCCATTTCCCCAGCCAGGCATGGGGTGCTTCTGCAAGCCCAGCCCAATGCCTCTCTGCACTCGTCCTCAGCTCTTTTTATAACTAACGGCTTGTACCAGCCCCGCTGTCAGGCGAAGCACAACGGGCCGGACACGGGAGGGTTCAAAAGTGTTCTGGGTTGGGCAGGAGTTATGGAAAGTATGAAGAGCAGTGCTGAGGCCAGGTAGTCAAAAATTCGGGAAAACCCACTTTTAGAGCTCAATCTGGCACTTTCCCCAGGGGTCTTTCAGCCATGACATTCTGCCCTGGTGCTTTCTGTCCTCTTTCTGGCCCAGGCTAATGTGTCAGCATCTGCACTCGAGTTGCAAGTTTCATCCATTTTTATTTTTCTATTTGCAAGTATCTGGGCTCCTACATTTTACTGAGATGCACTGGCTTCTGACTCTATTTCTCCTAAGCCTTCTTGGATCTCATGGAGACCGGGCGCCTCTCCTGCATCAGGCTCTCTTCCTAATGAAGAGGCTGCATTGCTCTGCCATTTATGCAGTCATTCATATTCATAGAACAGCATAAAGACAATTTTCTTAATTACAGTACTTGATGCTGCGGTGTGTCTCCCAATTTTCTGTGTGTGGTTTCATCTGCGTAACAGGCACTCTGCATGAATTCAACACCTTTAATTGCTGGGCAACGCGCTCCAGGAGAGGGAATATGCAAGAAGAGAATTCCATTTAAAGAATGCTTATTTGACTCTGGTCTTACTGGGTTCAGGGGGCCTGGCTGAGCTGCGGCTTTGTGATTGGCATGTACAAACCAAAATTAAGCTTCTGATTTGCATCCTTCATTTGCTAACAGAATTCTGTTTTGTATTTACCAGCAACTGAAGATGTAGACCTCACTCTCTCCTGAGACCGCCGTGAATGGAGGGAACGAACAATTGGATAGCCTCTAGCACGTGGAGAGAGAAATGCTGCAGCTTTTCACCATAAAATTGAATTTTGTGAAGCCATCACTAAACAGTTACAGATTGTAGAGAAAGTAGAGTGTAGCAGATTCTGCGGCCTCCCTCCAAATGCACCGAATAAAATCAGCGGGTCTAGGTTGTTGGTTGGAATGCTGTCCTCTCAGTCTGGTCTGTGGGATTTCAGAGGAACGGCTGGAGAGCAGAGTGAATACCACTGAATACATTTGCTTTTAGCATCTTAACAGCTACATTTCCCTGTGTGGTTTCAAAATTCCGTTTTTATCAGATGTCAGTTTTGGGTAAACTAAGCCATTTGCAGTTTTTTTTTTTTTTCCTTTCTGTTCACTTACAGGCTAATGAGAGCCAAGTATGTCTCATTTTGGCCCTTCCTCATTCATGCCACCTGAATGCTTGAGGGGCCTGCTGATGCAGAGACAGTCTGAGGTCATGAATGATCAGGTCTAAAGTTGGTATCAAAAGTTCTTGTTTGAAAAGAAAAACAAACAAACAAAACAAACCCTTCTTGTTCGGGTAGGGCTGACCTCAGATTTGCAGCAAGCTAAGGAACCCTTGAATTTTTCTTTCCTTTAATAGTTGTTCTTTCAAGTCCCTCAAAGAAGTAGTAAACCAGCAACACCTACTTCGTTCCTCATACTTAATCTGTTTTCAGTACAACTGTAATTTTCACTGAATCGAAACTGGGATTCAGTCTGCTGCTCTGCTGGGCCAGGGAGCTTCATCATTTACATTCGTGAGTTGATTTAAATTAAAGAAGAAAAAGACCGGAGGCAGAAGTCTTGTGAAAAGTGTCTGAGTCAAGCAGAGATTGGAGGGAGGCAAAGGACAATGTGGTGTTTTTCCTCAGCCTTGCACCTAGGTTGGATTTGATCTTCTAGCAAGAGAACATTTGCAGGTGGAGGCTGGAGCCTATTTTCATAGGAATCATTGTTATACACAGAACGTAAGCAGTGGTATACAGAACCAGGTTTATTACAAAAGATGATATGAAGTAGGGGAGAGAAGCATTTTATGTGGAGCAGAAAAGAAGTGCAGTCCTTCCTGGCAACTCAGAGGCTTTGTGTCTTTTGAAGTCAAAAGAGATGGTTCTGTACGCAAAACTATGTTATCATGGTGAGAAATGGCAGTATGGCATCTGGGGGATGATAACCATTGGTGATTTGGATGAATGAGGAGGCTGAGGTTGAAGAACAAGATGACACTGGATCTGAGCCATGTGATACACCCTCAGGTCCGCACCTAATAACTGAACGGGATGCTGACGCCCCCTGGTTAGGCAGGCGGGTTGACCAGCCAGTGAAATTGAGTATTAATGTGACTTCATTTGTGTTTGTGGACTGGTGACACCCAGGAAAATTCAGAATATATTTGCTTCTATTTTAGATAGCACAAACACCTATTTGGGGCCCCAGATTTCAATTCACTTGGAAACAGAGACATTGCACTCTTGCCTTGGGAGACTTTGAGTTAGTGTCAAATTATTAGCAGAGAAGATCACCCTTTTTGCTGCATTTCCATTATTTTGGTATATTTGCATTTGGCATCTTTTTCTAAAATCTGATAAGAAAGGCTTTTTTTATTTGCTTTGTGTGATTTTAACAATAGGAGACTGTAGAAGGCGGTATCCTGTGGTATCCTCCTAGGAGTGACACCGACAAATGTAAAAGCTGCCTTTTGGCTGTCTGGGTGGTTTGTGGGCTGTGTTCACTGTCCTTTGACAGAGGGGTGAGAATGGAGGATGATGGTGCAGGAAGGGAGTTTCATTGAGACTTCTAGAATGTGAGCAGTAAGAAGAGGAGGTACTAAGAGTAACCCTTCAAACACTTAAAGAAAGAATCTGTCACCCTTTAGCAACTTAAGTATTCAAATAGCTGCCCATCTAGTACACATAGTGCATTTTGTATACCACCAGTCATAGTGTTGGTGCATTGTAGATGCTCACTCCCCACTTGCTGTCTTAAATTGAATTATGTGGATGGCATTTTTCCTAATGGACCAGATTGCCTCTCCGATTCTGTAGATAGATGGCCTTCACCTCAACTTCCCTCTCATGCTTGCTTCATGGAAGTAGCAGTTTTGATGCTGGGTCTCAATTCCTCTGGATTTTCTAAGTGTCACTCTATTTGACTATATCATTCCAGTCATAAGATACAACAATATTCATTTTTATAAAAATCCAAATATATGTAACTGACATATGAAATTAAAGGACAGAGGGACGCCTGGGTGGTTCTGTTGGTTGGGCCACTGGCTCTTGGTTTCAGCTCGGGTCAGTGTCTCAGGGTCCTCGGATGGAGCCCTGCCTCAGGCTCCACACTTAGATGGGCAGTCTGCTTCTCTTCCTCTCCCTCTGCCCCCGCCCTCACTCGAAAGCATGCATGCACTCTCTCTCTGAAATAAACAAATCTTAAAATAAACAAAAGAGGGGCACCTAGGTGGCTTAATGGGTTAAGTGTCTGCCTTTGGTTCAGGTCATGATCTCAGGGTCCTCGGATGGAGCCCCACAGCGGCTCCCTGCTCAACGGGGAGTCTGCTTCTCCCTCTCCCTCTGCCCCTCCTGCCCACCCCCCCACCACTCATGTTCTCTCTCTCAAATAAATAAATAAAATCTTTAAAAAAATAAAGTCTTAAAAAAGAAATTAAAGGGTAGCAATTCATACTAATTCATACTAATAATGGCCATCACTCTCTTATCAGCAAGCAGGACAATATGAACTATAGCCTAGATGAACAATGTGTGATGTGGGTAAACTTAGCAAATGTCCGATTTGAAATAAGCTGTAGTTCGCCATTTAGCTGTAAAAATCAGTGTTTCCACATCCTTCACATCTTGGCATTAAAAAGAATGTGTTCAATGTTCCAAGCAAGGGTACTGATTCTTTCAGCTGTCTCAAGTCCTTCTGGTAACTAATTATATTCTTCCCAGAGAAAATGACTGATTGTGCATGAAATAAGGGTGCTTACATTAAATATTGAATATTAAACACTAAAAAAACTCTTTCTCCAATAGATCTAACACAGAATATGTTATTTGGAAGAGTTATCTTCATTGATCCTGAATTTTTTTTGTTGTTGTTCTTGCTTTTCTTCCCTTCATCTGACTGTTGGGGTGGTGTCTCAAGATATTTCTGTAAACCTCCAACCAGTCACAGCCAATAGGACTAAGAAGCTAAACAAACAAACAAACAAATATTCTAATTGTTATTATTGTCACTGATTACTTTTTTTTTTTCAATTCAAGACTTAGTCTTTCTCAGAACTTGGAAGTTGCCACAACGATGTCACCTACCATAATAAGACATGTGACATTCAAGGTTTAGTGTGGGGTAAAAGTTGAAATGTCATTTTAATCATCAATGCTGGAATTTCTCTGAGAGCAAGTTGGTAAAGGCTGTCATTAGAAACAAGCCGGAGTCAACCAGAGTCTGTTTTTTGTTTTTTTTTTTAAGATTTTATTTATTCATTTGACAGAGAGAGAGAGAGAGCGAGAGAGGGAACACAAGCAGGGGGAGTGAGAGAGGGAGAAGCAGGCTTCCTGCCAAGCAGGGAGCCTGATGCGGGGCTCAATCCCAGGACTCTGAGATCATGACCTGAGCGGAAGGCAGATGCTTAACGACTGAGCCACCCAGGCGCCCCAACCAGAGTCTGTTTTTTAATACCTGAGAATGACCAAAGTCGTACTAGATACATAATATATTTTAGATGATGAATAAATGTGTGGATAAAGTGAAGAAAAAATATGTCTATGGTTATTCTGAGCTTCCTATTATTTTATACTTCTATAAACTCTGTTATCTGGGAGTGTGTGTGTGTGTGCGTGTTTGGGGTTAGGAGGGAGCTTTTCTGGCTTACACTGCTATATAACAAAATGTGAAGCTAACTGACTCAAGTGAGAGCCATTTAAAAAGCTCTCTGCAAAAAAAAAAAAAAAAATCCCTGTTGCACTTGAATTATACTTTGACAGTTATAAATTTTGTTAGTGATTCTGATAAGAGGATTGGCCTAATTTTGCCATTTGACTAATTTTAAAAACATGTAAATGTCAAAATAATTTTGGGACTCATCAGGAAAACATTCTTGATCAAACTGCTTTCCTCCTTGACTTCCATGATCAACATTTAAATTTTGTTTTAGTAAACATATTATTTTGGAATAATTTAGATTTATAGACAGGTTCAAAGATAGTACTATCATTCTGTTTACTTTCTATTTATTCTAAACCAGAAACAGGTTAAGCAAAATAGTATTTGTCTTAGCTCATTTGGGCTGCTATCAGAGAATACTATAGACTAGATGGCTTATAAACAAGAGAAATTTCTCATAATTCTGGAGTCTGGGAAGTCCAAGATCAAGGCACTGATAGATTTGGTGTCTCATAAATAGATGGTAGCCTTGCTGTGTCCTACCTAACATGGCAGAAGGATCAAGGGAGCTTCTGTGATCCTTTTATTAGGGTGCCAATCCCATTCATGAAGGCTCTATTCTCATGACCTAATCATTTCCAAAAGCCCCACCTCCAAATACCATCACCTCTCGGGTAGAATTTCAACATAAGAATTTCAGGGGGACACAAATATTTGGTCCATAATAGTATTATTTTCATGCCTGATATTTTCAGGATGTCTTAGTTTGAAAGAAAACAGCCCAGCAAAATTCCTTTTTCAAATGAGCATTACCTGATTTAGACTGTTATTCTGCTCTTGATATCCTATTGTAAGCAAGTTAATTTTCCATAGTTCCTCTCACATTCCTCTGTCTCCATGCCGTCTTATGCCTTCTCATTTGCTGAGGTGTCCTTCAAATGCCTCCCTTTCTGTCTGTTCTGATACTTTCTCTGTTCTTTCGTATCTTACTATGAATATTCAAGTCCAATCCCACTGCCTCCTCTTGCTGGCTTAGCCTGGAAGGATCTCTCTCTCAATTTTCTTGGCAACTATTCTCTATGTTAATAATTGGGGAATTTACCACGTACTTCCTTTTTGCTTCTCTTGGCATCTTGAACTGCTAGTTAAATATTGTGCTGTTACCTAAATTTTAAGTGTTTGCATTTGTTTTTTTAGTAAGATCATAAATTATTGAGGATGATTATTATTGCCTGTTTGTCTTGTCCTAGCATGTAGGAAAGCGCTTTGCACACATTTCTTAATGAATATTTGTAACTTGATATGGTTGGAATTCTGATTAGTTTTGAGTCTGATTAGTAATCATTAATGTTGAGAACATATCCTTGGCCATGTATCTTATAACTACTTTTATGTATCATTTAATTT